GGCTGATAAGAGGGGTGGTAAACAAGGGAGGGAAGGACTCCTGTGCATCCTGGGTCCTCTCAACACCCTGAGCTGCAGAGCTGTGGGGTGAGTGGGCTCACTAAGGCTTTGCTGGGAGGTGACCCGACTCGGCTGTCACTGGGGCAGGTGAAGGCCACATAGAGAGGAGAGGCTCAGAAGGAGCCGTGCACGTGAGGAGCTGTGTGTAAGACTGTGCCACACAGCCTGTGCTCCTCCAGTGCAGCTCGTCCGTGGGGTAGATGGGCCACCTGCAAGTTCCTAAGTCTTTGCTCGCCTCAGTTTTCCTAGTTCTGAAATGGTAACGTATCGTGTACCTCTTGGCATTGTGCAGATATGAGTGAGCTTTTGGCTATTTTGTTTTCAATGTTTTTTTTTTTTTCATTGCCTTTATTTGTCTTGTATGTGAGAGGGTGTGTGCCATCACCCACATGTGGAGGTCAGGGGACAACTTTTGGGAACTGGTTATCTTCTTCTACTATGTGGGTCCCCGGGATTAAATTCAAGGTTTTGCGCTTGGTAGCAAGTACCCTAACCACTGAGCAATCTCCCATGCCTGTTGTTTTGAAAGAAACTGCATCTCCAGTAGCTCAGGCTAGCCTGGAACTCATTATGTAGGTGAGGATGACCTTGAACTCCTGATCTTCTGCCCAAATGCTGGGATTAAGGTGTATGTTCATGACCCTGCCTGGCTTCTGGGTCTTAATGGGGTCTTAGTGAACTTCAGCTTGCTCTCCCTTTGCAAATTTTGGGATTAGAGAGCTGTCTGGGGGTACTATGAGAGGAAGTGCTGGGGAAAGAATTTAGGGTTGTTTTCCTGAGCCCACCCAGTTGCCTGAGGCAAGAACTATGATTTCCAGATTTCCAGGGTATGGAACCTGACTTCTCTGACAGATTTGAGTAGAACAAAGGAAGCTGGGATGCCCCAGGGAAGCAGCCTCAGATGGAGCAGGAAGGGCTCCTTGGAGGTTGTGGCCGTCCACTGAGGTCTGATGCTTGTGAGATGTTGGCAAGCCTTGGCGTCTCTGTGAGGAGGAAAGCTAGGCAGATGCTCTGGAGGCCTCTGGACCCCCCTGTGTTTTATCTAAGAGGCCAGCTCAGGAGTAGGGAGTGTGCATGGCACTACATGGGCCTGGGAGCCCCATGCTACACCCAAGGCAACAGTCAGCGCTTAGTCCTTGAGGGCCTATGGTGTATGGGCCCTGGCTGACAGGTGTGTCCCCCCCCCCTACTTACCCCCTGTCCATACCCAGAAGGAATTCAGGTGAGGAAAACAGAGCTTTGAAAGACTCAAGTTTAATAGGGTTTGGTTCCACATGCTGATAATCCCAGCTCTTCCGGAACCCAAGGCAGGAGGATTTCAAGTTCAAGGCCAGCCTGGGAAACTATCGCAAAACCTTTTAAAATACAAAAAAGGCTGGGAATATAGCTTAGTGGTAGAATGCTTGCCTAGTATGTGCAAAGCCCTGGGTTTGGAGAGAGAGGATTCGGGAGGGAGGGAGGGAGGGAGGGAGGGAGGGAGGGAGAGAGAGAGAGAGAGAGAGAGAGAGAGAGAGAGAGAGAGAGAACGAGAACAAAATGTCAAGGCTAGTCAGCACAGGAGGAAACCTGTGTGAAAACTGAGGTCTCAGCCAAGCATGGTGTTATATACCTGTTACTAGTACTCCATAGTCAGAGGCAAGAGGATTGCTACAAATTCTAGGCCGGCCTGGATGATATAGTGAGTTCGCTCTTTCTTTCTTTCTTTCTTTCTTTCTTTCTTTCTTTCTTTCTTTCTTTCTTTCTTTCTTTCTTTCTTTCTTTCTTTCTTTCTTTCTTTCTTCCCT